TGGTGGCAACCATTTCTTCTTCCTTCCTAAGCTCGGTTTGGCTTCGCTGAAAGGAGGCGGCTCGGGGCAGCCGAGCAAACGCACGTTGCGCTTTGACCGGCTGCTCGAGTCCTTCGCTTTCCCAAGACAAATAGGTCCTGCGGGTCCCTCCCCGTAGGTGCCCGGTCGGCTGGGAAAAGCCAGCCGGTGGGAGTGTGCGTTTCGGAATGAATGTTGGACTCGTGCATCACAAAAAGCCCCCCGGGAAGTGAGGCCCCACCCACCGGGGGGCTCGCTGCTGCGTTGCGGGAGCGCGTCCCGGCGCCGCGTACCCGTCGCCCGAGGTGGGAGCGGGCCGAGCCCGCGGGAGGAATCCGGACAGAAACTGCACCGATCAGTGTTTTCACATCTCCGGCTTAATCATCAACCTTCCACTCTCAGAAAACCCAGGGGTATAAAACTTGGCTGTTTTTTTCTGATGCCCTGGGATGGAAAACCACCAGCTTTGTTCTGGGATGAGGCCCCTCCCCACCCCCACGTGGGAGGCACTTGCAGCGCGGTGGCTGGGGAAGCCAGCCTGGAAGTCAGAAAGCCACGGCCTCAAATCCTGTGTCTTCCACTCATTTGCCCATTGACGTTGGGGGAAAGCGCTGGTCCTCCGAGGCGATTTCCTCCACTGTAAAGTGAGACAGAGTCACGTTTGCCAAACACAAGTGTTGGGAGCACTCGACGAAATAATAAAATTGTGTTTCTAAAATGCCAGGCACATCGGAGGCCCCAGTGAGTTGCTTTTATCTTGTGGAAGTTTGGTCCCCATGAATAGTCTTAAAGTGGCCCTATGGAAATCCTGTGGGTGATGCTAATAAGTTCCCTAAAAGCAAAAAACAAAGCAATCAGAATTTGAACTGGGCTTCCCAAATTAACCAATTTTCAGTTTCATCTCAAGGGAGAGCCCCCACGTCCTGCCCTTCAGGACTCCCTGCTGAAACAGACTTACCCAAACCCAGTCGCGTCCAAAACACCTAGACAGGACCTTCCTCCTGCTTCTGGAGGTGCTGTTATTTAAATCAAGTCCCGAATTCGTATGTGAACATGCAAGAGCCTTCAGGCAATTCAACAGTGGTCATGAAAGCTGTTACGTATGGGGTGAAAATAAATGTTTTGCCGTATTAAGAGGTTAGAAATTAAAAACAGATGGCCTCATCAAGGGAAAAACTGCCACTTTCTCTCCCAGCTCCAACACTGCCCAACTGCTTTCCTTCAGAAGGTTTGTTTTTCCATCTAATAATCATAATTGAGCAAGGCCTTCATGGCTTTACAAGGAAGCTAATATTCAACTCCATCCTAAAGGGAAAGTTAGCTGATATTTACTGAGAATGACTGAGGGCCAGACACCATGCACGGTCTCACCTCCTTTGATTCTCAGGATGGTTTGAAATATGTACATTCGACACCATTTTATAAGAAAGTAGAGATCAAGCCACTTATCCGAAGTACCCCCAAGAGCAAGTGGAAAAATGACAGGCTGATTTGAAAGTCAAAACTGTAGGGAAAGGAACTTTGCAATTTTGAAAATAGATGACATTGGAAATAGGCAAATCTCATAAGCTCCATTAGAAATCATTAGTGAGACAGCAGGGGGAAAAAAAGAAGAAGATAAGACTTCTACTAAAATAAATACAAGAAATACCAAGAACATTCTACTTTCAACCCAAACCCAAGCCCAGACTCCATTCACGGTACAGTTTCAGATCACTAGGGGGTGGTCTGACACCCAGACTTACTAAGTAGAGGAACCCTAAATCCCTACCTAAACCCCTTACCAATTCTCTCATTTTTCTGGTGTTTTAGAAAGTTGCCACTTTCCAGAAGAAGTAGGTGGGTGTGAATGTTTCACTCTGATTTGCTAAACTGATTTTTGAAAATCCATAAGAGAGAAGCTAATTAGTGCCTGAACTATATTGACCACGGTTTTGTTCTTGGACCATGATCTTTGACATGAAGACACTCAAGTGATGACACAATCAGGTGTGTTCTGTCGGGTGACCAGTTTCTGTTTTCAGCTACGCACATAGAAGGTGCAGCCCTGACAGAGTGACATGCCATCAGAGAAGCCAGAATGCATGGACCATTCTCATTTCGAAGAAAATACACGTCCAAGAAGTTCCCGCCCAGTCCACTCCAGGATTTAGAATCAACGTTTGGGAGAAGAATTTAGAACATAGGTTGGGGGGACCTTTACTTCCCTTCTTCTTTTTACAAACCCTCCAGTTCTATCCTGTTTGAGATGAGGTCAGGAGCGGGGCTAGTGGAAAGTGGTGGGGGACTTTCTTCAGACTCCTTTGCCATCCCAGTTTCTCTCTCAAACAAGTGACCTTCAGGATGGTCTGGTCGCCCTGACTTCAGAGGAATAACTGGCTTAGACAGGCTGCCATGTTCGGGGTCACACAGCTCATTAATGGCATGGCCTTGAAAGCCCAGCTTTAGGGTCCCAAAGTGGGTGGTCTGCTCTTCATGCCCCCAGTCAGTGATCTTCCTAGTGGATCATGCCCTCTGACAAAGGTTTGAGGAGTTTGACAGGATTGCACAGTTTATGTTGTTTGGGGTGGGTTTGGGGGGAAGAGTTATTTCAAGACATTAAAAACCTCAAATCACTGCATAGTGTCTTTAGACTGAAGAATGTATTCATCGATATAGAGGCAGGTAGATAGATAAATAGGAGATAATTTTTTTCAAATATACAGATTATTGGGGTTTTCTTTTAAGTATAAATGCAAGTCAAAGTATTTTTTTAATTCCTAGAAACTTGTTAGTCATCGGATACATTTAGTCATGTGGATATCTGGGAAATGATGACATTAAAAATTCAGTCATCAAATTATGTAGTTCTCATACCTAAAGCCCCGTGAATTATGTCTAAGCTTTCTTGTGTCACTCCTTACATTAAAAAAAAAAAAAAAAAGATACTTGTTAGCAGAACTAATTAACACCAACAGTTCCATTCTGGCTATGCAAAGAGGCTTAGGGACAGGAGTTCCTCTTCCTGTGACCTTCAAATCAAATGCAGATTGACCCGACCCCACCCCACCTCCTCCTGCATTACAAAGTCCTTCCTCTGGGGGAGCCGGTGGTACTGGTTCGCGTGGCTTTCTCCACCGCCCTTCATCTGGTTCTCCAGCTGCCATCTCTCCTTCTCCCCTTCCCCCAGGAGCTGGTTCTCTCTCCCCCCCAATCTAAGGGAGACAGTTTCCTTTTCTGATTTCAGCAGACTTTTGAGGGCCCGGGGCGGGGGTGGGGATGTGGTTCCTAGATCAAAGGTTTTTTTTTTTTAGTTCTCAAACAGGAAGGCCACTCAGTTACATCTACTTCTGCACATGACCGGCTTCTGATGAAGCAATACTTGCTGCTCAGGGCGGAGTCGGAGGGAAAGCTCTGAGGTCACTTAGATCTAGACTGCGCAGAAGTTCCTCTGACTTGGCCGACTCAGAAACATCGAGGCTCACTACACCACTAATTAAATCACGAATTTCTGTAGGCTACTCTACAGAAACCACTCTCTGGGCATTAATGTAAGGCACTCAAGAGCTGGCATTAATTTCCTATTTTTCCACTATGTCCTATCCGAATTAAAGTGTAAATCTCCGGACAGCAAAAATCATGTCATATGCCCCTGTCTTCTCTGTCCCTACCACAGAATTGGACTGGAGGGGATGGTTCCATCAAAAGGTGCCTGCTGATGAAAACAAATTAAAATACAACATTTGGTTACGCAATGAACACCCAGTAGTTTACATGATAAAAATAATAAACACAGAAAAGAATGGTGATGACTTTTAATGGCTTACAGCTACAGTACACTTTTATATGTATACATACATGTATAAATATAGTTACAGACCATAAATATCCAAATCTGCCACTAAGCTAATACAAAATATCTTTGCAACTAAATAAACTAACAACCATAGGTAATACTGAAGAAAAAGCAGATACTGAGGTATTTTCTTTCTTTCTTTTTTTTTATCCTCACCCGAGGACATTTTTCCATTTTTTTGTTCAGATAGAGTAGAAGGGAAAGCGAGGAAGAGAGAAACATCGACGTGAAAGGGACACATCAAGTGGCTGCCACCCGCACAACCCAACCAGGGCCCGGGACAAACTGCAGCTGAGGTACACGCCCTTAGCGGGAACCGAACCCGGGTCTCTCTGGATCACAGGTCGACGCTCTAACTGCTGAGCCAATTGATCTAAAGTGACCATAAGCTATATCAGCGATTTTCAACCTGTGTGCCGCAAGAATTTTTAAAACATGTAATGCCTAACTATTTAGCTAGGAGCACTAACCTCTTTTCCCTTATATTGCCAAATAAAAGAAATGACAACAGCCAACACAATAGAGGTCCAGTGTAAATGAATCTACATTATACCTATTTTTTTTTTGTCAGATCGGCAAAAATATAGTTTTGGTGTGCCCCAGAACTTTAGTAATTAGTTTATTTATGTATGCCATGAGATGGAAAAGGTTGAAAATCGCTGACCTATATTAAAACATTCCTGCTGTAGAAGTTCAAGTAGTTACAAAACTCTTGTCAAAAAAAATTTTTTTAAAAACCTTTATCTCATTACCTAAAACCATACTTTAACTAATGTAAATTTTTAAATGAAACAAAAATATTTTAATTATAAATAAGTAAAATAAATATTATTCTTGCTGAAATTCAACCATACTGTTTTTATATATATTTTGGAACTTTGTGGATGGCCAGGTCTTTAAGTTAAATGCAAGAAACTCTTCTCAGAATCTACATATTACTTTAATGAAAATTAAATATATATATATATTGCTCATTCAGAATGAAAATCCCATCTATATATATGGATGCGTAATCTATTCCTCTTTATTTTTTAAAACTATATCCTATACACCTAAAACTAATACAAAGTAATATTGAATATAAACTGTTATTAAAAAATAAAATAAAATAATTTAAAAAGTATATCCTAATGATGAAAACATGCTTAATTTCTTTTAAAAGATCACTTCTTATAAAATACACATTGACTAATATGGAAATAGCATTTTACAGATTTTAGAAACTTCTTTGGAAACATTCATTTTTTTATAATATTTTCTTGGGATATTTGTTTTACTAAGTTTTAATTACAGCAGTAAAAAGTCAAATTCACTTTTAAAAAAAAAATTATTCCTGGTTATCCAAATTCCCTGTGCTCTACCTTTTAACATTCAACCTGTAAGAATTTTACTGGTACCAAGTAACACTCTCGTATTTTGATCAAATTTTTTTCAAATTATACACTTCCCAGTTAAAGCCCACAGAAACACATTTAATAAAATGTCATCTGAACAGAACTAATACATTTTAAGTAAAAAGAAACAAACTATCAAATCACTTTATATTTTGTAGTGACCTATGAAATAGCTTTCTCTATGACATTCAGTGTTCTCAGAATAAAAGTTTTACTTTTAACAACATAACATATATATAAACCAAATATTACACCTTCTTCTGGAACATATTCTGTTTCTTGGCCCCTGCCAACATTCTAATAATTTATCAACTCTTCTTTACAGTATGCTGAGTATCAACCTTCAGCAAAAATACTAGAACAATTGTCTAAGCAAAACCAAAAAATACCATTCCATCTTTCCAAAGCTCTTCAATTCTCACCTTAAAGTAAACAAAGCAGTTTTTTATAATGTTCTGACATCCCAAAGAATGACTTCGGAGAAACCTCCAACAGAAATTCACTGTGATGTTTTCCATCTTCGTTTCCAAGGCCATCCAAAAGCAAATGAGAGCTCATTTTTCTCCATTACAAGGCAGTCTCTCCTCTAACTGATGAAATCCGATGAATCCAGCTTCCACGGTCTCCTCACTCGAAGGCTTCTGCAGCAGTCAGGTTCCTGAGTGGAAGAGTTTGTATATCAGATTCAGGAGTTTCTGCCGGAAACTCAGTTTGTCTCCAATTCTCCTTAATTGAATGGCACACTCTACTTCAGCCTCTGAAAAGGAAAGCAAAACATCAAAATTAAATTGACAGCATTCCAAACTACAACCAGCAAGAGCGACAAGTTGAGTATTTATCTTGTAAAGTGTTTCTCTTAATATTAGCTTGACATACTCCTGTTTTCTGAGTGTGAGCTCACACACACACACACACACACACAACATATACAAATACACTGTGGCTCATAAACAAACAAAATTGAACAAAGACATTTACTTTAAAATCTTTTTTTTTTAAACATTCCTGGATGAGGCAAACATTATCTTATTTGCAAATACAAACATTTAATATGTCTAATACCACAGTTAGTGAGACATTGCCTGCCTCAGATGCTGTCATCCATTTTTCTCACTTAAGGTTGGTGGGTGGGAGGAACGGAAGTCAAATTCTAAACTCTTTTCTATTGCTTTCAAGTAGGGCTTATTTTTTGTGGCAATAATTCATAGCTCAGATTATGCCCTCATTAGGCAAATCTAAAATGTATTTTTTTCTTCATTTAAAAAAACTCTGAAATGTTCTCATAAATGATTCATAAACTTGTATTTCAAAAGTAAGTCCACATTCTCTAAAATTATTTAGAAGTTTACATTTTAGCCCTAAGCCAAATTCTTCCAACAAACCCAACCTCTACCAACCCATTGCCTTTAGGGAGATCAGGGAAGCAGAAAATAAGTAATGTTTAATTCACGTTTACTACTTTTTAGAATAGATATTGTAATTAACTGGATTTTAATTTTTAAAAACATAATGCTTATCTAATTTCCAAGTACATTTTTAAGCAAAATTAACATCAAATCTATGCTGACCATAATTCAGTTTTCTTGGAAATGTCAAGGAGCAAGTTGGGATCTTTTGGTCCACCTTAAGATCATAATTATGAACATTCAAAATCATTATGACTATGAACTGAAATCTGATTTACTTGGTATACATACCCTGCAAAGACCCTCATTAGGCTCAAAATAAAATAAAAAAAACTGTAAATGTATAATAAAGTGAATTTTTAAATCTACCTTTCAACCATTTTCTCTCTACAAGAGCTGAGTAAAAATTTCATGATGCCTAACAAGAGACCTAATAAATATCATAAGATGCCATTCTTTACAGGTTACAGAGTCAAACATTTTGACAAAGATATTCTTTTCAGTGAATGGGATGTATTAACATACTATCCTATAATGTATGTATATACATATATATGTATATGTGTGTGTGTGTGTATTTGTGTATACATATATATATTTCTGCATACAATTTTGGAAGCCATGAATTATAAGAGGAAAAAGTATTCCTTTCACACACACACACACACACACACACACACAAAAGGCAGATAATAGCTCCTAGTTGTTTCCTTAGTTTCTTTGTTACAGTTACACATCTATAAATATGTTAATAAAATGAATGTGTAATCATGGTTGTTAACTAAACTTAGTGTAGTAATTATTTCACAGTATATACATGCATCAAACCATGGTGCTGTACACCTAAAACTAATACAATGTTATATGTCACTTATATCTCAATTTTTAAAAGTATTACTATCTAAACAAGTTTAAGTGGGACCTTTCTCCTTTCCCTTGTTACTGGGAACTAAGTAAGCTGGATGGGTGAAGGTTATGCACAGGTTTAGACCTTTTCAAAACACGGTCAGAACTACTGAACATCACAAAAGACAAACAAAGTTTTTTCCCTCCCAAGAAAGAGCCAGGGAGAGCGGCCTGGTGCCTACGCAGCCATGGCCACAGTACCAGTACCCCCACTTCCTTCGCATGCCCACGCATGGGCTCTATAAAATTAAAGTATGTTGAAAAGGGCGCGGGGGGGGGGGGGGTGCTATTATCACCTGTTGATGTAATCGCAGCATGACCCACACGGATTTTCTAGGCCAAAGCCTTTGCTGCCTACTTTGCTACTGCCCTTAGCCTTGTTGGATACGATTTATAAAGGGGGGTGGGGGGCTGGCCTGAAAGTTATTTGATGGGCTATTGGGGATGAGGGGTGGATAAATTTTTTAGGTTGGGGACCAATTCCTGTTCTCCTATCCGTTCTCCGCAACTAATATTGTTCAAATGTTATATAATGTAACTCTCAACAAAAAAGCAAGACTTTCTGGGGTCCAGAACGCAGTGTTCCCTGCGAAGCCTCCATAACCCTCCATCAATCCTTTGTGGAAGAGCTGGGATCGAATCAAGCTTTGCCTCTGCTTATTTCCGCGCTGGGGGTGGAGAACGTGATCGCGCCTAGAGTAAGTGGGGCCCTCAAAGGTCCACGACTCGAGAGAAAGGCCCGTCTTAGGAAGCGCTGGGAGGCCAGGTAGCTCCAAGAGCTTCTCCCGTCCCCACCTGCCATGGAGACTTCTTGCGGCTGACACCCGCACTTGCACTTTTTCTCCCCGTGGCCTGGGGCAGAACAAGTGCGGATGGAAGACAAGCGAAGAGGCGGCTTTCTGCATCCGCTAAAATACAGCTGTATCCCAATCCCACACGGGGATCCTACCCTCGCCGTCCCCACGATCCCGGGTAAAACCCCGAAAGAACTTCCAGCAGGCGCCCCTAAAGCACGTGCAATGGCGCAGACCTGGCCGGACCTCCAGGCCCAGAGCAGACGGGCTGACCGCGCCCCGACAAAGACCTCGACCCCATCCCGGCCCCGGCCCCTGCCCCGGCCCCCGCCTTGGCCAGGATCTCGACCCATCTGGCCCCTACCTCCCGGGGCCCGTGGAGGGCTCGGCTGCGCGTTCTTACGCGCCTTCTTCCCAGGCATCTCCGCAAGCAGCCGGCGACAACTCTGCTGCCGACCCGGGGGAACTCAGACTCTCAACCTGGAGTCTGCAGGAAGCGAGCTGTGCGCGGGGCAGGCAGGGACCAGGCAGGAGACCCGACTCAGAGCGCGGCCGAGATCATCTGCGTCCCGGGAACAGCAGGGGCCCGCGCTTTCATCTTATGGGACTTCCCGGGTGACGTAGGGAAACCAGACGCCGGGCCCGCCCCTCTCCCCGCCCCCCGGCCGCACGGGTGGGGGCAGCGCGCGCTCCGGGCGCTCCGGGCCGCGCGGGTGTGGGAAACCCCGCAGCAGCCTGCGCCACCTGCCCGGACACGTTCCCAGCCCGCCAGCTCGGACCCGCGACACCCTGCTCAGCCCGAAATGACTTCCCTAACAGCACGGGGCTGGCTCCAGGCAGCTGCGGGTGCCGCGGCCCAGGGGTCGGCCGAGGAGGAAGGTTCCCCAGTCGGAAAGTTGGCGGTGGGGAGGCTTCGTCCCTACCCTAAATTACAATTAGAAACTTCTGTAAGGACGCCTGTAATTGCAGGAGTTCGTAAAAGGAAAGTTGTCAAACTCGGGGAGTGGGGACGGTTTCAGGGAAGTGAGAAAGAGAACTTTAATAACTGGAGGGATGACGCCCGAGGCCATGTTAGTAAATACGGTCCTGATTGAAACCGTTGCGAAGTTAACTAGGGATTGAAACCCTGGAGCGAGCGAGCCAACGCCGTTTTGATTTGGAAGGGGGATGTGTGTTGTTGTTTGGAAAGGGAGAGGGAGGGGACTAGTCTCGGCCCCGGGATCGGGACTGTAATTTTGAAAGTTGAACATAATCCCTCTGGATAGGTAGGTCACTATTGCTCGTTCTGGATGCTTAGTACAATAATAATAATAATAATGTCATCATATAGAAAACATTCAAATGCTTTTGTGGAGGGAAACAGGAACTATCCGGGATTATGAAGTTGTTCACACGAGGTTTGGCTGGCCCTCAAGTAATTAAGTTCGTTATAAAGAGGAGTAATTCCGCCTCCTTACACTGAGAGCCGCTTAATGCTAAGGGCTTACGCAGACATTTCCTCCTGTCCTCAAAAAGCCCTGAAGCTGCGGTTCTTAACCGTCATGACCGCTTTACAGGTGCGAAACGGGGTTCATGGCGATGAGGGGCATTGCCAGGCCCGCATGGGCAGAATGCAGAGCCAGGACCCGAGCCAGGCGGGCCCACACGGCGCAGGCGCTCTTGCCCACCGCAGCTTCCCCAGGAATCAGTTTCTGAGGAACTGTGTCCTAATACCCGCGCTGTTCAACGCAGACGTTGCGAAGTGGCTGCTTGGAGCTGCGTGGCTTTCTAGAAGTATTAGTTTTGGTTCCCAAGATTGGTCTGCAAAATGTCTTTCCAACGTTTGAATTGGTTACCCACATTTAAAATTTAGAGAATGCATTAAAAGCCTGGATCTCTGGCGTCCTTTGGAAAATCCTAAACTCTCCCAACCCGGGGTCCGTTTTCCAGACGCGCAGAGCGGACTAGAAGGTGGCCGCCTCTTCCCCGCAGAGACCTGAGGCGGGAGCTCCCCTGGACCACACTCCCTGCTGTTTGTTTTCTCATTTACATTATCTGGCCCCAGTAGGCAGCAGAGCTTGTTTGTTTACCTTAAACCATTCAATCAACACAAATCTGCGAGTATTTATTTGGCTTGGTTCTGCAGAAGTAGGTCGACGCTGTAAGCATGGAACTAAATTACTCTTGAGTTGAAACAACTTGGTTTTGAGTGTGGTAAACATGTTAGGATTAAGGGAATTCGGGAATTTTTCAGCACGTGATACAGGAACACTGTGGAGATGCCGCCTCCAAACCTGAGATCTGGAACCTGGGGTCGGCCACTGGGGCCCCCCCTTCGGCAAGGCTCATTTAGACTGATTTAATACCACTATTAACTTCCTGATAGGATAAATTAGTAAACTTCTGATCAAATCCTGCACACTGAAAGGCAATGAATGCACTCAACAACATCAACAAAAAAACAAATTATGTCATGTACAAAGGATGTGTCAATCCTGTCCTCTCATATTATCATAATAAAAGGCAGTTGGTCACATGACCCATACAAACCTTAAGCGGGTTGTGCCTGCTACAGAATTGCTAATTTAATTTGTTGGAAAGAAAAGGGGGGCAGGGGGCTGCCTTCAAAGATGAGTCAAAATCAGCCATTTATGTTAAAATGCTGGATTTAAGATGGTTCACAAACTCTCAGATCTCATATTCTGTTAGGCAGTGAGGGGAATTGGAAGGTGAGTGTGCAAAGGCTCTCTTAATTGGATACTTTTCTGGAAAAGGGCTATTTTGGCCACCAAGGCTAACAAAATAAAAGTTTATCATGAAACACTGAAATCCCCTATTATCTGTTTTGCCTTTTTTTTTTTTTTAAATAGGGGGGGGGAGAGAGAGAGAGAGAAACATCGATGTGAGAGAGACACATCGAGTGGTAGCCACCCACATGACCCCAACCGGGGCCGGGGACAAACTGTAACAGAGGTACATGCCCTTAGCGGAACAGAACCTGGGTCTCTCTGGTCCACAGGCCGTGGCTCTAACCGCTGAGCCAAACCAGCCAGGGCCCCTATTATCTGTTTTGAAACAGAAAAACAGCCCTGGCCGGTTTGGCTCAGCGGTTTGAGTGTTGGCCCTCAGACTAAGGGGTCGATGGTTCGATTCCTGGTCAAGGGCACTTACCTGGGTGGTAGGTTTGATCCCTGGCACCCGGTCCTGCGAGAGGCAACCAATCAATGTGTCTCTCTCACATCGATGTTTCTCTTTCTCTCTCTCATCCCTTCCTTCCACTCTGTCTGAAAATCAATGGGAAAATATCCTTGAGTGAGGATTAACAAAAAAACAAAACAAAATTCTTTTAAAGAAATAAAAGGACCGATGAGGATAAACTACTACCAGATACTTCATATTCATGAACCAAGTTAAAAAATGACAGTACAAATATGGCCATGCCCATGTTGTCCTTCACAGTGTTTAAAAAATTACTGAGAAACTAAGCAGTAAACATGATTAGTCATAAAATAGTCATTCATACATCTCATGCAGAAATGGGATTTGACAGGAAGACAAGAAGATGTGAGAGATGATTAAGGGGGGAATTCTAAAAAAGCCTGTGAAGATAAACATAAGCTGAAATCCTGAGTCAGTTTATTCTGCCAAGAGAGGACTTCATTTTTTCCTGTGGAGCTTGTGTGTTAACACGAAATCAGCCTGATGCACTGATCAGTTACCTCTCTATTTGAAGACAGACACTCCAGTAGGCTCTGGCGAGACAAGTGCCCCCCTCCCCTGGCTGCATTGAAGAGATCAGTGCCTCACAAATTCAAGGTTAACATGCATGCCTGGTGCTGGAGAGCCAGCTGGTCTTGCAACTCCACTTCAACAGACTGGCAATGCTGATGCTTTTGGTCTATGGCCATCACTTTGAGTAGCGAGGACAGACAGTGATACAGGTACGTACACAGGCGGGTACAGTAAGACATGCATCAAGGCTGTGCCAGGGAAATGATGACAGGCTGTGGGAGGGCAAGTAAGCAGGAAAGGGCATCTACATAGAGACCAGACAGGCATAAATCAGAATTGGCCAAGCACTGAGACCAAAGGGAAGAAGTATGTTCTGTGCAGAGAGGGAAGAGCAGTGTGAGGTGGGAAATGGAGAGAGGTCAGTGGGGAGAGAAGCCACCTGAGGAGTGTGGGTATTCGCCACAGTGGGGAGAGGAGACCACTGGAGACTTTAAGCAGATGGGTGATATGATCAGATTCTAGAAAGCTCGCTCTGGCTTCAGTGTGACTAGATTAGTTGAGCTGAGGCTGGAAACAGTGTGACTAGTGTAGATTCTGTTAGAATTCTCATCCAAGATGGTAGTATCAGCAGAGTCATTATTTCCACCACTCTTGTCAAAATGTCCATATTTCCTGACTAGGATAGGACTGCCTTCTGTTAGAACAAGACTTGATTTTTTCAGCATAAATATAATCAAAATCTCCTGTATTCGTTTCCTAGGGCTACCATAGCAAAGACCACAAACCGGTGGTTCAAAACAATAGAAATGTATTCTGACACAGTTCTGGAGGCTGGAAGTCTGAAATCAAGGTGTCGGCAGGGCCACGCTCCCTGAGGGCTCCAGGGAAGAATTCCCTTTTCCTGTTCCAACTTCTGGTGGTTGCTGGCAGTCCTTGGCAATCCTTGATTTACAGATATATCTGTCACTCAGGTGTCTGCCTGGGTCTTTACATGGCCTTGTCCTCTGTGTATATGTGTCCAAATTTCCCTGATCTTATAAGGCCATCAGTTACTGAATTAGGGCCCACACCAATCCAGGATGATCTCGATGTAACTTGATTCCATCTGCAAAGACCGTTTCTAAATAAGGTCACATTCGCCTGTTTGCAAGTGTGGGGGTCAGGGGAATGGGGAGTTAGGACTTCAACATATCTTTTGAGGGATGCGATTCAACCGTAACATCTCCCTTTATCAGTTGTCTTTGCAAAAATGTTCTATGTATACACTTTCATTCTATTTACAGTTTGCATGTTTTACAACTAAAGTCTCTTAGTAAACTGGGCAATGGATTTAAGCAGCCTGAAATGAAGGTCAAAAGCAGTATAGATAAAATAAGAAATAAGTTGACATCTGAGGGAACAGGTTTAGAACATCTATCAGCCAAAGAAAACGTGGACCCTGCACATTCTTAGTCGGAGATGATGGTGTGACCCCCACCCTCCACTTCACCTAGGCCCGCCACTCACAAGATCAAATGAGTTTTCAAGAAATCCTTTGATGGAGCTTAAAAGTAATTTAATTTCCATTCGTGCAACATATAAGCACATTATAAAATGTGGAAAAGAGAGGAAACAAAAATCTTAATCTCCCAAAGTTTCTATTCTTCATTTTATTCTCTGTTGTTTGCTAATTATTTCCTGGATTTATCACAGATCATGATCATCAAGGATGTTTGTGCCTTTTCACGGCAGAGTCCAGACTAGAAATAGGCAGTCATGCCCTGGCCGGTTTGGCTCAGCGGTTAGAGCATCAGCCCACGGACCAGAGTCCCAGGTTCAGTTCCCGGTAAGGGCACATACCTGGGTTG